TTTCTATATTTTAAGCCGATTTAATTTTCCAGGACAAATTGAATATCTCAATATGCAATAATGTTCAACATTTAGACTGGCAAAAAAAATAAGGCAAATAGTAAAACAAGAATGCATGACAACCTTAACATTCCCCCTAATATTGCGGTAAAACAGCCCTGAAGCTATTGAAGACAAAATGACCACCAGGCTTTGCCTATCAATGTTTTATATCTTTTCTACCGACACAACCATAAAATCGGAGACATTTTCTTCGTCAGAGGCTCGGAGACGAATGAACCGTGGCAGCGGCGGTGAAAAATCGGAATATTTCATCTGTAACAGCGTTAAGCCTAAATTATGCATGACCCTTTTGAATGTCGGGTGGGCGTTTCAGGCTATTCAGGTCGGGCCGTCCCCGAATGCCCCTTCGTCATTGGTCCGTCGGTTTACCCAACTGGAAATCCAATCCTTTGTTGGCACGCATTCCGATGCACAAACCTGAGGCATAACCTTTTTTTTACTTTCACGTCACAAAATCCTCTCATAGCACACAAAAAATGTTCATTTCAAGCAATCCTTTAAGTTTAGCAAATTAGAAAAATCCATATACACCTGGTGCGACATTTGAATTTTAAATCACGATACTGTACACCATAGATCAGCTATGAATACACCTCAATCCATTTATATCAATCATAATGAATAATCATGGTCATAATCAATTATAAGTCATAACTTCAAATCAAATTTTATGCAGCACACCTGCAGTAAGTTGATTTTTCAAAACTTGCAATAATTTTTTTACATCGCAAGCTGAAATATAAAAAATTAGTATTGGCATTTACTGACTACAAAGCACAGAATATTGTGTCATACAATTATTAAGCATTTTGCTGGGCTGGGTTTATTATTATAGCTCTGTATGAAATATTGTATGAAATATTGCAGGTAAGGAGGTAGTTTAAGACTGTGTCACACCTATAGTGCCTTATTTACAGAAATATGGGTCTAATTCCTTATCGTACTGGTAAACCAGTTAATCTGTAAAGCCATTAGAATTCACTAGAAATCCTATGAAATGATAGCAAAAAATGTGCTTAAGAAATGGCAGTAAATGTCAATATCAGACAGATTTCCTCATCCAGAATTTTTCATGTTCCCTCCCTGAAAATGCATTGGATGCCTTTAAACGACTAGTAAGCCAGAAGTCAAAAGTGAATAACATCCATTTTGAACACAAAGATTTTTCGGGTCAAAACCCATGACCTCAAACATCGCTGCATTACACGTTCAGTATTGACACAACCTCAGCACTTTCTCTATGAGTCATTATCGACTTAAGCAAACAGTGGACAGATTTGACATTGTGAAGGTTAAACCAGCAGACCTTTTAGTGATGGCTTACACATATTATAGGGCTTACAAAGGTCATCGCACTTTCTCAACTATCGTTATTTTCTTATTATTAGCGTTATTCTTAAAGCCACATTTCTTTTGCAAGAGAGAAAAAAGCTCTAGACCTTCTAAAATCCCCTTGGCAAAAAAAACTGCCTTGAATTACCCAACAAGACATGTTTTTCTGTTAGAATATACAACAAATGGCAGATGAGGGATACGAAAAAATAATAGCCGGTCTCAACATCCTATTATAGCCCCAAACGCTACAATAAGAGCCATGACGTCAAAGTACAATTTGTTTATAATTCAAAGAATCAAACAATGAATCAAACAGTGAATTTCTAAATTTTTTTAAAAATGATCCATACTTTGTAAATTCGGAGTGGTGCAGGTAATTTTCAATGTAACCTCAGCTCCAGTGCAGTGCAGAAAAAAGGATTTCCATTGAAAATTAAGTGGTTCTGACAACTCTTGACATTAATGTGTTGTCTGTTGATAAGTAGTGACTGTCTATGATATAATCCAGGTCTCACCAGAACTCTGTAATCATTAGAAGCGCCCAGCAATTTTCTGTCCTGTGTTCTTGGTTAATCAATGAACAGTTTATAAACAATGCTGCTCTTATCGCCTAACACAGGATACAGCTGTTTATGTCGTACACAAACCACGTACGGTGTACAAAAATGTAGGTGGGGCCGTCTGGCAGACAAATTCAATGGGATAACGTCATATGCATTGCAGAATTAGGGCTGAAAATACTATCTGCATATGCAGAAATAATAGCTAGATCACATAAACACAGGGCTTGAAATACTGGGTGCATGACATGTACCCTTGGTGCACCCTTAAGTTCAGCTGTGCACCCAATTTTTTAATTAGTAGGTTTACGTCCATGTATGTAAAGATATCAAATGTAAATACTATGAATTATCATACGCAATGGTGTACCTATCCCAATAATGGATTTCAAGCTCTGAAAAATGAGAGTCCAAGAATGAAAAAAATGGTTTATTGTAAATGCCAATAAACAATGGATTATGTTCCTAAAACTAACGTTACATGTAATATTATATAATGTACTGTCCCTGCATCCTGTAATTTATTTGGTATAAGGCTTTAAAATTATCTTTATCAACCCCAGACAGGTGCGTTCTGAGATAGCCTAATGCAGACTGTCGTAACTATTAGGATGAGCCTGTCTTGCTTTGAATGCATTTTCCAGTGTATTTTCTCAATGTCTTCTACGGTTTCAACAGAAACAATTCAATTTTCTATGCAATTTTCAAGTATATAATGCCTTAAACATATTTTAAATTAGCTACTTACCTTTAGGCTTGCAGTGTAAGATTTGATTTTCTACATGAAATGTTCCATGTTTATAAAATTCAATGTAGTTACTGTATATTAATTTATTTTTGCAGTTGGGGGAATGGAGGTTTTGGCAACATCTTAATTTCACAGTTGAAACAATTCTGTAATAAGTAATAATGCAATATAAACATAAATTCATAGTGTCATAATTTGACAGAGTGAATCACAGTAAATTTATCAAGATTTACAGCATCTCTAACAATATTAATTATAGAGTCAATATAATTTTAATATCACAGCTGACCAAACCAGTTGAGTCATATACCCTTATACAGTCCTTGGCCAAACTACCGTCACATACTTCACACATAATATAGTCTGACCTTCAGCCAGTGCTTCAAGGTTAATAGTTCAACGCTATTTTCCATCGCAAAATCAATGCCACATCAACTAGCTGCGGTCGTTTGGTGGAATGCAGGGAAATAAAATCCAGTCAGTTTCGTATAATTATCTTTCACATCAGTATCAACCGCAGGGTTCAAAATCCTTTCCTTCTGCATAATATACCTTAAGTATGCTGCACCAGACAAATTTTACCTGCATCACTCTGAATTTAGGAAGTATGGATCATACTAAAAATTGTTCAGAAACCATTGCCGTAATATATCTTTGTTTCTTTGATACATCATCACAGGAAAGGAAAAAAAATTATGATAATCTTAAACTTACATATTTTTACTAATAACCCCAAAATCAACATCATATATTATCATGTGTAGCAATTGGCTTTATAGAGAAGAAAACAAAGAAGATCAAAATATTATAAATGGTAAATATGCCATCAACTTTAGCTTTTTCTTTCTTTCTCAGTGTCCTTTCTTCATGTTATGTCTTAATACAATACAAGTCATGTTATGTGCAATGGAATAAAAAAAACTATTTTAAAAAATGCCATGAACTGGATGGTTTGCCATCATGATTGCGCAGATGAATAATTAATTTTGCTTGATTAGGCCAGCTGGCCGTAGCTCAGGCCTGGCACATCCTCTCATCTCCGCAATTATGCAAATTAGCCATGATTGACAACTTGATTGGTATAGAATATGCTAATTCATTTACCTTATATATTGTCTTAATACTCATGGACCAGTGCGTGTGCCATGAGCATACGAAACCCGGATTTTTCACGGTTTTCGTTGGATATTATCAAATGGTCAATGTTGTATTAGAATTACATTGCACCAGACAATGTCTTTTCTGACACAACATTTTAAAGCTATATATAGACTGGATGTCATCCATAGATATGTGGAAACCACCTTGAATAAGACATTCTGCCAAAGTTCTGCACAATACATTATGGGAAAGGGCAAGGTCAAACACAAGGTAACATCTCATTTTACATAATTATTTGATTGCCTTTCTGTGTTATAAACAAATGCATAATACATGTACAGGTAATAGAAATCTATAAATATATAAAAGCCATTTTTGTAAGAATCCTAAAAATGCTCAAGAGCTACTCAAGAGAAAATTTACTAGTACAATAGCCTATTAGTATATATATCCTCAGGTTGTCTGCGCATGTTTAATGCATTAAAAGACCAAATTGGACTAGGGTTTCTGACTCAGAAAAAATACCTCTGAGCCATCTGCTAGCTTTTTTACATTCCAGAGCCTCAGGGTTAAGTTTTGCCAAAAATATTTCCATGTAATGCAGGAAGCTGTGCCCAGATTTTCCTAGAAATGTCACAGGCTTAAGAACTAAAAGGTTAAGTTTAAGGCCCAGGGGGAAAAGGTGTCTTTCCAGTTTCCTGAACACGGAGTGGTTCCTGAACCTGGCAGAATAGTTACCCCACCAACCCTAGCATATTTCTGTGGGCGACCTCTGGCAAGCCATCAAAATTTCCAATTACAAAGTTTCAACAACTATGAAATATACTTTCATGCATTTTCCAAATTTTTTATTGAGTAACATAAATCGGGTGAAATATTTGTCATCCTTAAACATAACTACGTCCTCAAACAAGACTGCCGATTATTTAAAAAGTGCTATTCACAACAAATTATGGGTGTCAATGTGCCTACTATAAATCACTTATTTGCGGTAGTAAAATTTTGCCGTCTGAGAAAAATAGACATGTTCGCAGAACTATATGTTCGCAGTGGCGAAGGAAGAAAATTTTTAAATTTATTTCTTTGATATAAATACAGAACAGACAACAAAACCTGCAAATATAAAAGTACTGCAAAAAATTGTAATCGACAGTATCGACAATATGAAGCAAAGAATGATTGTGTCAACTTACCCAAATCTGCAGTTTGACTCTCTTGTCTTGCCTGAAAACCGTCTTGACCTTAAAGTCAATCCCTACGGTACTGACGAACGCCGACGTGAAGGAGTCGTCTGCGTAACGGAAGAGAAAGGACGTCTTGCCGACACTGCTATTCCCGATTATGAGCAGCTTGAACATGTAGTCGAAGTTCTGGTCTGCCGCATCCTTCTGCCATTTTGAATCTGCTGCGGAAGCCATCTTGGGGAGGGGGGGGTCAAAAGAGAAAGAAGATTAATTTTGTTATTCCTGCTACAGGTAAGCCTATTTGCAGTCAGATTTTTTTAATTTGAAAGTGCAAAAAAAATTCGGTTTAAAGTGCCTTATATTGCTGATAAATCAATGCAAATAATGTAAATAATATGATATATTTTCGTACTTTAAGTACGGCCATGTTTGGACATATTTTTGCTTGATAATTTATAACCTTACACAAGCAAGTAAGGCAAGCAAGTAAGCAACTTTTCATAGGAAAAGTAGTGATCTCTTAGACACAAAATATTGGTGATGAAAGCACACCTGAAATTTCAAATGTAAGGTTTGAAGTTAAACACAAAGTCTTGAATTTTTACCAAAAATCGGAATGTAAACTATATTTTCATTTGTACCGTCATGAAATTGCTTTGCGTGCCTTTAAATGCAAGCTCCTTGGGGGCAAAATATATAAAATCCAGCGCTATGTAAAGCCAGGGCTATACTAAACCTCTTAAAATTCCAGATTCAGATAGTGCCATGGTAATGGGAATATGTCAGATTAGCCTGATGTGTTTGAGGCGTTCCAGCAATAACAACCAACCATGTCTTATCACTCCTAACCGGCTAATGGTATTAAGCTGAATATTCCTTAGGCCCAAGAAAATTGATGTTGTGTTTCTTATTTCAATTCTGAAATAAATGAGTTAGTTGGCTTTTTTAATCTTTTTTAGTAATCTAATTTTTAAAAATACAGTTTAATGAATGTAAAAAAAACCACAACTGTAATAGGTAAAGGGAGAAATATTTCACCTGATTTACTTAATAATATTTGTTTCTGAAAATCAAAATGCGTAAAATAACATTTTAAAGGTTTAAAACTCAGATATCAGATCAGAAATTTTATGGCCTGGGTCTGTCCTCTGCAGTCAAGCTACAAAAAAGTCAGTCTAGGGTCGGCAGGTTCTTAGTGCATAGGGTCGGTTGGGAAACAGGAAACACAACATTCTTCTAATGCCTTAGGGACAAACCAGAAATAACTGTCGGACAGAATAGGGGTCATTAGATCTTTACTTTTACAAATCTCGCCAATTGTACTGCCCAATCTACCTCATTACAAAGGATGGATATTTGTATCCTATGGTTTACAAAAGATTTCAAAGAGCTGTATTTGTAGCCTGGTATTTGTGCAGAGACAGTATAACACTAAGTGCAGGAAGAAAGTGAAATGCAATAGTTATTTTACAACTGTGATTATACTATATAATAGGTAATGCATTGTGTACACACCTACATGTAGCTACTACTATATCTGTGTGCTCTATCAATAGAATTAAAAGCATGTCCAAAGCAAAGACAAACATTTCACAGATGGTAGGTAGGGGGACTACATCTAGATAGCCAACTCGTTAGAACATCGAGAAAAATATAGTCATGAAAATTAAAATAATCATTCATGGAAATGTGATAACTTACGTCCATTAAAACATTTGTATCAAAGTAAGAATGCTTCATTTGGGAAAAAATGCAGGAATTGAACATTCGATGAGCTAGAATCATAATTTCATAAAAATGTTATTAGTCATGCAATATAGCAGCCAGCAAATATGTTTATTAGATAAATTACTGTAACTCAATATTCGATATGCGAAAAAAATCGTTGGATGTTGGTGTATGTTCTAGTAATGCCTTTCCTTCCACGTAACGCGATATTTCAAAATCTCTGCACTGCATACATTTGCCTTGCTGTCAAATATATCACCGATTCAGGGTGCATACGTGACTTCACAATAACCATTCTCTGTAAAGTTGCGTGCTATTAAAAACGCCCATCATAAGTTACATTTCATCATTCTTATAGATATATGCTGAAGCTAGTAAGCACAATTTATACAGATATTCTATCTACGCACATGAAAATTAAAATAAAAATACCCGATCGCGCAACATTTGCCCTTAATGCGAATAAACAATGAAATGGAAAGCAATGAATTTCGCTTGGCTTTCCGACAACGTAGGAAAAAACTAGAAACGGCGTCAGAAATGGCTACAGCCCAGTCGGGCCAGAATAAATTCCTACCTGAAGCCCTCCTTCGTGCCGCATCACTTATTGTGCAGTTAGCCCCTCGAGCGATCGCCGGAAAGGGGTTGCCTTTTACCAAAAAGGACGGCCCCTCCCCTTTTTTTTCTATCCGTACCCCGTGAAGACAACAGAGCGCCAGGAAGAGAGCATATACGACAAGCGGCGGCGGGGAAAATGCCGTACGTTCGCGGGTTAGATCCTGCGCCAGTCCGCGCCGCTGGGGGTCGGCTGATGAATATTACGATTCCCTTCACGTAAAGACGTCTCCCAGTGGCTCGTCACACGTCGTCATCGCATGACGGAGTGCTTGCGAGCGGCGGCCATGATGCCAACATTCGGGCCATTGAAAACCTACCAGCTGCCCGCTCCCTTTCACAAATACACCCCGGTAACTCGACCCCCGGGTAAACAAAGGCGAGGTCCCGGGACAGGTGGACTAAACAGGCGATTCTCGCATAGATGCTTACCTTGTTGTGTTTGTCCGTGTGTGTCAGGGCCCTCGGAACGTCTGCTAAGATCGCGTGTATATCTTTCCCTAGCTTGGGAGGCTCGAGAGTACGTCAGCTTTGGCGAGGGCGACTCCACAAACAAGGTGGTGAATATTAGCATGAAAATGACCCGGATCCACGGCAAGGCTCCACCAATCAGCGCGCGGCTCGGACCTACGTCATCCAATCCACGCCAACCACCTGTTCGCCGGAGCCAATCAGAGGCGGACTAGGCCGTGACGTCAGCACCACCTGCTACAGGGAGGATTTTTCATGGCCGTGGATTATTGTTACACTTTCACCCCTCGGGAAATGTCACATTTTCAGCGTCTATTCATTTTGCCGTAGAACAAATTTCAAATCAAGACACTGACAATAAATATGTTTGTGTAAGATAAATTAATAATCAGCCATTTATGCTTCAGAAGATTAAATATTTGGCGAACCATCGATAAAAGAATCGATAAAAACGCATATTTCTTCCAATAAAAGTTCACGCCTCTTGAGTGTATTTATTTTTGGTGTCGTCTGAAAACTCCTACGCACATGTTTGATTCATGATGACATCATTACTTAATAAATCATTTATCATATCAAAACAATTCCTTTGCCCCCAGACCATTGATTTTAAAGAAAGATAGCACGTGTAAGACTAAGCTATAAAAAGCCAGTGACCGGAACTGTATACTCGTACATGACGTAATACAGTGTCGTACACAAATACTTCTTTGTGTGACCGGCGTATCAAATGTAGAAGAAGCACGTTTAAAAAGCTATTAAACTTTGATGTGGGGTCTCAACAACGTGAATGACGTTTTTCCGATCTATATCAAGAAACGACGCCAAATATAAGCTGAGTTCTTTATTTATCCATATTGAAATAAAAAAAAACTTTGCCTTCTTCAAACAATACCAAATGAATGTTTGCATCTTACTATCATGAGAAGCAATAATCATATAACATTTTTATCATTTCATTATAACATTTTGATAATCTTTACATGTATATACAGTTATATGTTATAGATATATAGAAATGGTAAAATAAATGAGAAAATATTTCAGAATCGTGTGCCTTTTTATTTATTGGTGGTACCAAATTTAGGGACTCCTTTCGAAGGTTGATTGTGGGCCATTTCAAACTTTCTAGTCCACATATATGAAATTATGACGAAATGTGCTATGAAATGGCAGGTATGAATATCAATATCAGAGAGATTTGCTTATCCAGAATATCTTTTGCTTTACGTGCCACCCTGAAGTTGCATTGGATGACCCTTCTTCAGCTAATGTACCCGTTTGGCACCAAATTTTTATTGGTTATGGAGTTAGACAGCAGGGGGAGTAGATGCTTATGGTACATACGATCTGTCTAATTAACGTAAGCCGCATTTCTTGTCTTACTTCGTTTTGTGGCACCATATGTTGACGTTGCATAAGCGCTGACGTCAACATGACGCAGTCAGTTTTGTCAATAACCAGCATGTATCTATTAGGTTTATTACCCTGCCAAGTGTGGTGCCGATGCGGATAGAGCGGATATGAACCGACGTCTATGCACCCCACGCAGTGTTACCGGCTTTATCAATAGATAACAGTAAGGCTAGGTTGATTTTATTATTTGGATGACATCCATGCGTGCATGAATTTTCGTCCGTTCCAACAAAAAGTTTTCGATCATACTGTAGATCGTCCAATCGTAGGCAAGACCTCAACACCTAGAGAAAAATGTTTACCGAAGAAAAACATATTGTTTCTGCTGTTTCCTCTTCTCCAAGCAAGAAAGGTCATTGACCTGAACCAGACAGTCTATCACCATGGTAACTGGTGTTAGACTGTAGGGCTGGCAAATGGATACTGACTTGCCTATTTAAAACTGTCTCGCCCATTTGAAGTCTTGCCAATTTGACACTGTCTTGCAGCCACCAAAATATCTACTTGGAGATTACGTGTTGTGTTCTTGCATGCATGGTGCAGTGAACAGGGGATTGTTCATTATTGCAAGGGTTGACCGGACAAAAATACTTAGAGAGGGGAAAGAACATTATGCATTTCGGTGGTCTTTTGAGTCCACCAATTAAAGCCCAAGATTGTTTTTTTAAAGCTATACTTATGGTGTTAGGGTGTTGATTTCGGACAGATGTTTGTATAGTATATTCTTCAAACGTTTAGGTATGTAGGTACTTCAAACCGTGAGTAGTTCACATTGCTGTTCCTGACATTATGTATTCCAGACATGAACATAAATGTTACATGTTTAAACGGACACCACTAACTCTGGCTCATCTTTCTCCCTTTTTCAGCCACCTTGACCCTCTTTGGGACGGTCCTAACAACACACAACCTCGCTGTTACTTTTATATCTAGAACAAAGAAAAGAAGTACCGATGCAGTGGCAAAGAAAGCTGCTAGGGGGGCCTTGATCAGAACCGATATCTATCCATGTGCAGTTTAATGAACAGACCTACATGTAAGTTTCTGAAGTATAAAACCGCTGGCACGATAACCTGTCTAAACCTTGTATAAACCTTAAGGGTATCCATTGTATTATACATCTCTTTCATATCTGAGAAAAAAGCATATGTCAACCACGCAGGGATGGTTTCATAAATACAACCTCTCGCATAATAGAAATACCTAGGTACCTGTCTTTTTTTCCTTTCGCTGTTAAGAGCGCGACGAACTAGTATTTGATTTTGTAGCGATGAGACAAATGCAAATATAGATAAAGCTATATGCACATGCAATTAATAATAATCTCCGAATTAATTTGAGAAAAATGTCATTTAGAAACGATAACAATGTTTATGTAATATCCCAAACGGGAATTTGAGATGTATGTTTTGTACATTTGAGAATATTGCAGTTACGTCAATGCCCTAATTGAACGTTGAGGCAATCCAACGTTTTAGGAATTGCCTCAAGGGCTGCTTTGGGCTGCAATTTCCACGCTTTATCTATATTAAAAGCCTGCTTTTGATGTATAAGTGTGATGTAACGTAACGTTTGGTACTTGAAGTTCACAAAAATACATGGAGGATAAATGTGCGCGACGCCGTCCTTAGAACGGATGATTGCCTAGTACGTAAGTGTGCAGTACCTAATTATAAGCACGGTACTAAAGCGCCCTCTAGGAAAAAATTCAACTGCAGGGTTTGTTAATCTGTATTTGACAAGTATAGTCGCCCTTCGACGTAAGGCGTATGAAGACCTATTTATCCAGCGTTTGACAGGCCCATCATTTTACTGTGTGCCTGGAAAACAAATTCAGGCAAGCGGCTTCAGGGAACCAAACAAACACACTAGGTACAATCCACACACCCACAAGGGGCAATCAAGTCTCTGAGCTGACCTGCCTTCGTGCTGATCGCTATTCATGAAAGAAGCAATTTGTGGTCTACGTCATTTTTACGTCAATACAAACAGACTAAGTTACTTATCCACACACCCACAACAAATTAAGTCTTTGTCAGACCTGTCCTTGGTTCTGATCACCATTTCTTCGGAGCAATTTGTGGCTTATACGCATACGCAAACATACACACACTAGGTACCATCCACCCACAACGAATCAATCAAGTCTTCGGGAAGTGAGGTCCTTGGTGCTGGTTGCTATTCCTTAGCGAACTAGGCGATTTGTGCCTCAACGTCATCTTTACGCAAACGCACACGCGCTAGGTACTATCCACACACCCACAAGCGGCAATCAAGTCTCTGAGCTGAACTCTCCTTGGTGCTGATCGCTCTTTTTTTTTATTCATCAAAACATAAAGACATAACAAGGACAGTGTGACGCTGCACTCAAGTTAACAACTTATATTAACAGCGCCACACACAAAAAAGGTACAATTAACGTTTAAATATACAAAGTTGACATGTGCGCCGTAGTCCCACCATCCCAAGACATTAAAATATTAAATTAAATGCTAACAGAGCTATTTGTAAGATAAGATCGCTCTTCCTTCATGAAAGGAGCAATTCGTGTTTTACGTCATTTTTACGTCAACACAAACAGACTAAGTTACTTATCCACACACCCACAACAAATCAAGTCTTTGGACAGAGCTGTCCTTGGTGCTGATCGCTATTCCTGCGAGCGGAGCAATTTGTGGCTATATGCCATCCTTACGCAAACACACACTCTAGGTACCATCCACCCACAACGAATCAATCAAGTCTTCGGGAAGAGAAGTCCGTGGTGCTGGTTGATATTCTTTAGCGAACGAAGCGATTTGTGCCTCAACGTCATCTTTACGCAAACACACACACTAGGTACTTTAGTACTATCCACACACACACACACACACACACTCACAACAAATCATGTCTTTGAGTAGAGCTGTCCTTGGTGCTGACCGCTATTCCTTAATTAGGGGAGCTATTTGTGTCTTTACGTGCGTCATCTTTACGTAAGTACACACTAAGTGTAACCCACAAAGGTAGCCGATGCCGAATGTCAAATCTCCCACTTGTAATCATTAGTGCTAACAGTGCACCAACGGGTGTAGGCGTTTCAGTCACTTCAAAGTAGTTCGTTTCCCATGCGCTAGTCCCTTGCCCTACAACGTCACGGGGTTTTTCACAATTTTGTTGAATGTTTGGTCAACGTTGCAATTGCATTAGAATTTGGCTGTTGTAGACGATATCTTTTCCTACATAACATTTGATTTAAAAACTTTCACCCTATTTAACCAGAGTGTCTTAAATTACAGCTTTCGAGCATAGATAATCTGACATTTATCGTTTACATTGTAACCGCCTGACACAAATTTGACATCTCTTGCCATCGTTTCGACGTCGTCCAAGAATTCCTCGTGTTTGTCTTGTGGTATGTAGCAAAGGTGGCGTAAAACTGCACTCATAGCTTTCCTCCGGTGTTCCTTAGAGCTGTAAGAGTGCTGATGTTCTTTGAAATGACAGGAGATGATGTCAAATCCACACTCTTCCAGAAGGCGGCTGCGTTCTCTTAAGATATCACTAGAAGGCCAGGGAAAATAATTCGGCTCAAAATCTTTCAAGTAGGTTTTCCATTTGGGATGGGAAGCCATTCCCAGGATGATGTGGGAAATCTTGGTCAAATTAGTAGTGAACCACAGTAGAATTTCTCCTCCAGGCTTTAGGCAAGAATGCAGCACTTTTAGCGCAGCGACCTTGTCTTGGACCCAGTGTAGTACTTGGAGAGAAACTACTTTACTGAAGGCACCTCGCAACTCCGGCTTAATTGTTGAAGTGTCCGAGATATCAGACACGTGGTAGGACACGTTTGGGGAGGAGTTGTGCTGTCTGGCATGGCTGTGTAAAAAAAAAAAGAAAATCGTCTAAACTGTGGTAAATTGTTATCTCTCAGTCTATGACGTCTTGCTGGAAGTCCCAAGACCCAATTTTGGGTAACATAATTCCAATAATAAACAATAAATATAAATTTCTGATCATTGTGTTATATATGATATTCGAATCGTGAAATTAGGATGTACCAGACGAATTCAGGAGACACATCAAAGCCCACCACAGAAGCGACCCCTGGCTGTTGAGAGATGTATTTGCAGATTTCTCCCGTGCCACACCCAGCGTCCAGAACTGTGTCGCCTTCCTCCCACCTCATGTACTGCTGGAGAACCTCAACTCCAAGGTCATGCTGGAAGGAGTGGTTCTGAGAATAGAACTCGGGCTTTGTTGTGTCCATTTTCTGTGTTAAGATAAAAGAGTACACTATTTCAAAATTTTATAAACGCACACGCACACGCACACACACACACACACACACACACACACACACACACACACACACACACACACACACACACACACACACACACACACACCGGGTCATACCAAAAACTTTTAAAATGTTACATGCCACTTTCTCTGCTTAACATTCAGCATCTATGAGAAAGAGTATGGGAAAGTCAAACACAACAATGTGGTAGCCCCCTGTTGCAGTGCTTGCACAATTGTGTCAACCAAGGGCTACAGAAATGGAGATTGGGCACCACCTCTATGATCTGCACAGAGTGGGACGAGACCTTTATGCAAGTTAGCGAGTAGTCTCCGGCGTCAATTGTTACACTTACCGTCTCAGGCTGCCAGGCTGTCACAGTTACGCACCTTCTGAGTCAACTTTGACTTTCAACCGATGGTATCACACCGGAGTTGATTACAGTTAGAACCGGAAGAACAACATTTTCTCAATGTAGCAGAAAAAAGTTTTCGCCCTATGGGCATTTCTGTAGAAGGAACACAATGTGAGCAGGTTCGACGGTTAAAAATTTATAGTAGGGTACACAGGCAAGCTACAAAAATGTCTGGACTCACTGTGCAATATACAAAATATGTGAAAATAAGCTCTCCGGCAGGTTTTCCGGCTCGTTTCCTTGTAAAGACTTCTTTTGTATGGCACTATGCGGGGATCATGTGAACTGAAGCCCACGCACAGTACTAGGCGGTGTCGGCCAATCGACCCAGCCGAACAAACATCCTATAGCTAATTCAAATTATACAGTCTCAAACATAATGCATTTCTCTAGAATTCAGCACAGTTTTCACTGTCATGTACGGAGGAATCTGAGTGTACAGTTTTCTGAAGTATTGTGCCGCATTATACTAGCTACTTTTTGCCCTATATATAAGCTACTACTTGATATAAGGTTTTCCTTGACTTTATCATAAGGACAGGGGGTACAGATTGACATAATTAACCAATAAGGAATAATACATATGAAGGTAAATACAACACTACCCAGTTGTATAAAATGACCAATCCTTTTAATAAGATGTAAAATCACTAAGACACGCAGCCTGTGTGTCGAAGCGCCTCCTTGCGAAATAATTTCCAATGCCAATGGAACCCTTGTGTCAGCATCACGAAGTGATATCGAATTGCAGCTGATGCTAAATAAAGACGTCTGCGCAATTCGTTCTAAACATCTATGCAACCAAAAGAACGCCTCTTCTGTTTAATAGCATTTAATAGGCGATGAAAATCAAACAATCTACATAATGCCTTAAGTTGGGTGTGACAATATATATGATTATATATAGATTATTGTTTATTTTTTATCGTATGTGATCTGTAAGCCCCCCTTGAGGCCTCTATTCAGCATGACCTGGCTTGGGGTTGCGGTTTGTACATATAATGCATTTCCATGTACTGCGTAGTCGGACGGGTGCAACTCCCCCTACCCTAAACTTCTAGTGCAGGTACGTACCGCATCTAGAACCGTACCTATCAGTTTCTATGCCTGAACGGATTGGGGTTAGGATCAGGCACGGTTCTGAATAGTCTGGGTGTATCCAAGAATTGCTCGCGTTTGATGGCGAGTGTTGACAGTCAGATGTTCCATCGCATATGAATACCCGGTGTAGTAGCTGTACATGTATGCCCATGATGGTACCACAATCGCTCTAAAATTGAAATGCTGTATACATATTCTCAGGTACCAGTAATACTGTTGAATACAGGGGTAGAAGACCTGTTGGTCAATTCTTGTTGACAAGGTTTATGATATCAAAATAAGAACATGTAGGAATCTTCCTTTTTTCGCCCCGTTTTCGCCCAGTGCATTGCACTTGGAGTCTGCTGAAGTATATACTAGTATTCTCCTGAACTGACTTATTCAGACTCGTTTTTATTTGTTTAAAATTTTCATTCAGACTGATTTGACGCAGACAAAATGACCCACGAAAAGGACGAAGCGCAGGGGCTGACGGGAAACTGTGACGCAGAAGATAAAGTTCTTCTTGTCGTGATTGGAGAGGAAGAGTTGTGCGTCAGAAAGGCGACGTTGACACGAGAGAGGTGAACTGTCAAGCTATTTTACCTCCATTTTTAACTATGCTCCGAAACCTGCCAGTAAACTGTGTACTAAACTATATGCATCTTAAAAGTTCTTTGTTGGTAGACGCCATTATGGAACAAGTTTAAACTGAAAAAAATTGCTGTACTAGAATAGTCATATACAATTTATACAGTGGTAAATTGCGACCGTCCCTCAACAAAGACGGGGGTCACTACCGACTTTCTGCAATATATGATCCACTGCTTACCGAGTCGCCTGTGTTATCTGCATAACATTTATTACGTCACAGCGGCTACTTCTCTGCGATGATGTCGTCCGGGATGAGGGAAAGTTGTGAAAACAGAGTCGAGCTGCACGGCGTGTCGCCTGACGTCTTCAAAACCATCTTAGACTTCTTCGGTACAAGACGGATGCGATTTGACAAGGTTTGTCGTTTGTCGATCCATGGCGGTAAAAACAGATTGAGTGTTTTTCTACCTCCATGGTCGATCTATAAGTTAAAGGGGCATCATGTACCAAATTGATTTTATTTTGTACCAAAAATTAAATATTTTAATTGAAGAAATCTTTCTATGATTACAATTTACTTCCTCTTTTCAACATATTTGTCTAATTATCTTACAATAACATTATGTAGCAAGCTGGATGGGCTGGTCACAATACGTATGAATGTGTGTGTGAGTAAGTGCAGTAGTAAGTGCAATTGTTCTATATTTGCTTTTGTATGATTGTAATTCATTTCCTCTTTCCAACATTTGTTTCCAATTATCTTACAACTAAATTATGTGGCAAGCTGGCTCGTAATCATATACGACTATATGAATGTGTGTGAGTAAGTGCAGTAGTTTTTCTTTTAGGCTGGACCGTCCATACGTAAAGGTAAATATTAAATAATTCCTTCGTAAATGTTACCTTTCTGTTTGCTTTTCTTCATTACATTTTCTACATTAGGTAGGCCCAGAAGAGATTCTAGAAACCGCGGTATTTCTTCAAATGGACGGGGTCATGAACTACATGCGGCGCGCTATGAAGATAGAGACATGCGTGAGATGTCTCCGCGTGGCCGAAAAGCACTACCTAGCGGACCTGGAGAAAGCTGCATACATGTTCATGAGGAAGAACTACCTGGCACTCCTACAGTCCATAGAGTACAACGGACTGACGGAGCACGAGAGAGACCAACTGGTGGCGCTGAGGTAAAGTTGGTTACGTGATCACAAGCATGTGTCTCTATGAGCAGTTGATAAAATGCAGCAGATAGGTTGTGGCGTCCCCCGTCTCTATTTGTCTGCTACATTCTCTTTTATCATTTGATTAAATGTAGCAGATAATTCGTGGCGTCGTCCGTCTCTATCTGGTACATCTGAGCAGTTGATCAAATGTAGCAGATAGTTTGTGGCGTCCTCTGTCTCTATCCATGTGCTACATGTGATCCACTGCTCACTGAGTCACATATCTGCAATCTACAGACGACGAGATTAAAAAAGCAGTGAATTGATTCCTTGTCTGATGCCATATCCCCCATATAGTGTTTTATTTGTCAAATACAGATAAAGATTATTTTTCGTAATGAATTCCACATACTAGTATATGATCATGAACTTTTAAGCTAAGCTTACCTCCGTTTTGATACGTAAACTTGAAGCTACATGGGTCTACTACATTCGTACATGTGATACGTAACTACGTGTGACTACAACATCTCCATGCTCTGTTTTTGCTTTTGATTAATTAATCAATAGATACGAGCCACAGGAGTTCATCTGCGCGGTGGGATCCTACAACGACGCCCGGCTGGACAACCTGGAGACGCCGCGGTCTCTCTACGTCTTCGACCACTTCGAGCAGAAGTGGGGACCGATCTGCCCCTTCCCGCCGCCCCTCTGTACCCACGGGTGCTCCGTCGCGATCGTCCACAACCTCCTGTTCATCCTGGGAGGGTTCACCTCGTCCGATCAGAAGGAACTTCAGAAGGAAGCGTTCTGTTACGATCCGTTGTACAACACCTGGGCGCCGTTCCCGCACCCGCGCGTTCTGAGAGCCCACTGCGGATTGGCTGGAATAGATGCTGCCAATGTGCTGTATGCGGTTGGCGGTTGCACAATCCACAAAAAGGTACACAAACACTAGCTACACTATCCCCCTTTCCAATGAACATACGTCCTCATATGATAACTGATCCAATAGAAGTCTTAACAGTTGATTAACAATTCCACAACTTAGCATTTCACAAAAAAGGTAACTTTGACTCAGTACTGTTTTCTATCGCATGGTTTTATTTGAAATTCATCTAATTCGATATTTTTGCATAGTTCCTAGATGTTTTGAAGCTTTGAAACGAGCAAATGACTTGCCCGGTGGTTGCTATTCCTTCGTGAACGTCAGCTTTTCGTAAACACACATTAGGTACTATCAACATACCCACAACAAGTCAAGTCTGTCCTTGGTGCTGATCGCCATTCCCTCCATAACGGAGCTATTTGTGTCTTAACGTCATCTTCACGAAAGATTTAAATCTTTGTGATATTGATTTGAAAATGACACTCGCATTGAAATAAAGCTGCTGCAGACGTTAACTTAGATATTAATGACATTTGATTAAAAAATCGTTGTATTTTGAACAGACTAATTCGGACGAGCACGATTTGGTGGACCTGTGCTCGGTGGAGCAATACAGCTTCAGGACCGGTAGATGGCGTGACGCCCCCAGACTGCCGAGGCCAATGCTGAACGCCAACCTGACCGCCTGCCGAGGAGCCGTCTACACAAACATCGCTGTACCAGGAGGGGAAGTCATCTATAGGTAGGTTTCTTATGGTTACATATTGTTTTTGCTCTGTTTCTTCTTCTTCTGTTCCAAACAAGTAAGGTCAATTACCAGGACCAGACGTCTGGTAACTGGTGTTTCATTGTAATAGTTTGGACCTTATGAAAGTCGTGTGTGTGTGTGTGTGTGTGTGTGTGTGTGTGTGTGTGTGTGTGTGTGTGTGTGTGTGTGTGTGTGCTAAAAGAATTTTCTCCAAGCAGATGTTGGGTTATGTGTGATGTTTTGCCACACAGCGATTTCTAAGAATAATACCAATTCCTTCATTATTTTCAGACTCATCCCAGGATCACCCTGCTGGGATGAGATTTCTCCCATCCCAAAGGTTCGATTCGTCTTCAACATGACGTCGTTTCGCCAAAACATCTACCTCATCTGCGGGTTCCTGAGGGAATTTGAGAGCGACCCTCTGTGTTTCAACACTGAGACTGGCAAATGGAGTTACCTCTTCAGGCCCCCTCTGGCGAAAAGGAGTTACGTGGACGATCTGACTGTTTTGGACGATAAATACGGCTACAAACTGTATCTAGTGAGTCAGAACTCCACGCAGTGGTGTGACCTGGGAACGAGGGAGTGGCAGTACACGGGGCTACCAGGGTACCCTGGGTCCGGGTTTACAAGAGTTCGTACACTTCATTTGCCCATCACTCATTTGGTACATCTGCGGTACTGATAGAAAATAATTCATAAAAACAATATATTTCATCGACATCATGGTATGGAGTGAAATATAACTACTAGAGTTCCACGATCTCATACCTTCGCCTTTAGGAACGACGAATTGTAAACGTTTCAAATTGATTATGCAAATAGGATCCTCAATTGCAATGTCCAGCTCACCAAACCCGAAGTTCTGCTACACTAACTGTGTTACGATAGCAAGAGGCCAGTTCTTCATTAGTTTATTGTATTATTTTGAAGTATCTTATTAGTATGGCATATTGTACCAATTTACTATAATTTTACTTCGATCTTATTCTTTTATCAAATTTTCTTTTATTAAAAATCTCAAAATTGGGGTTTTTGAGAATATTTGTTACCCTTAAAGAATTACATGGTGTCTCTTTTAAAACAACGAAAAGCATGGAGGTTTCGATAACAATATTTAGAAACACTGATTGATACTGATATGTACTGGGTGGAAAAGGTTGATATGAAACAGTCCATTTTGGAATGGGGAGGGGTTAAATAGACTGAAGTATGCTGCATTTGCTTGCAAGTTGTCCCACACATGACACTCTTCTTTAGCGCCACCTTCCGACACATCACGGAAGTGTAGCCATAGATAGTCACAACAAGATGGCGACCGCCAACAGCACCAACGCGGATCAGGATGCCGTTCTGGATGATTTTGAGGCTTTAGACCCTTCCCTACGCAACGTAGTGGAGCAGAAGTCACTCAAGTGGATATTCGTCGGCGGAAAAGGCGGTGTAGGGAAGACTACGTGCAGGTAAGGGCAAGTTTTAGTAGCAAAACGTCATGGGGGAGGGGGGCGATTTTTAAACAACCGGTCCGAAACAGTCTGGAAGATGACGTGTCCCTATAATCAGTATCATAGCTCATAAACTGTTTTTATCGTAAAAATATGAACTTTTGAAAGTAACTAAAGCACGGAAACAGTTGATGACCACAGCTGAGGGTTTGAGAATGTGAAACGATAAAGTTTAATCGTCTGAATTTGACGTACACATGCATGCTGCGTTCGCGGGATAAAGTACTTCCGGGATAAACCTATTTATAAATTTTCGTGGTGTAAAGCGTAACGTAAATGTACACGTACAGCCTGTAGTGACCGTTTTTGTTGTGCTAATGTTAGAAACTATATACTAGTATTACAGCATTTGATAATTTGTATCACCCCCAATTTATCCTCTAGGCAAGCAATTTCAGTTTCCTGTAACATGTATTACATTGTATGTATAACTATAAGAGGGATGTTATATTTTGCCTGTCTCGTCCGTTGCAATTTTTTATTTGTGTACACAAACTTTTTGCAATTCAGGGAGTTTTATCCCTGCTGTAAGGTTTTTGGTGTCTAGGTGAATAGGTAAATATTAAATGAGAGAAACTGTTGTACCTGTAAGAAACACAGGGCAAGCAGTAGAAACATTAAAAAAACCTTCTGGTCCCGGGCCGAGGTTCAAACCCACGGCCCCGGGCACCGGTATACAATTCGACGCTCCTACTGAATCAGCTAAAAGGTCTAGACCCCTCGGCCAAGTCAGTTGGTAGCACCTATAAACCCGCCACTGTTACATACCAACAGCTGTAGCCTGGCCATCCAGCTGGCAAAGGTGCGTGAGCGTGTCCTCATCATCTCCACGGATCCTGCACACAACATCTCCGACGCCTTCGACCAGAAGTTCTCCAAAATCCCAACAAAAGTCAACGGCTTTGAGAACCTGTTTGCAATGGTGGGTTCTACTGCCTAATTTCTATATCTCCAAGCAGAAGTCTTCCTTGAATTTGAACTATTGTAGAGTGGAACTCAGTGCCACTGAGTATAGTGGGGACTTTATCACTAGAAAGCTTTAATCTTTTAAACTTTAAGAGTTAGATGTGCAAAGTCTAGGTTTAGCAGCTCGTTCGGTGTAATGTAGCCAGCTGCCGCTGCACCGCTTGCCTGCGAAGCTGGTGTGTTACACCGAGGGGCAGTTATACTGGGTACTGTATACAGATACAGAGGTTTAGCCATTTATATTGGGTAACGTGTTTGAATTTAGTAATTTACTTTCTGAAAATTGATTTTTGTGGGGCTTAAATTTAGCAATTACTTTATATATATTAGTCTACTTTATTGAACAAATTGTATTGTTGAACCTGTACATGTATCTGATACTAGTCTTAAGTATTTTTTCTGTTCCAGGAAATTGACCCGAATCTGGGGATGTCCGAATTACCTGACGACTTTTTTGAGGATCAGGCTGAAGGTACATGTACTCCACCAATAACAATGTAGTGAACCTCTCTCAGAAGACTGAAGGCTGAATTAACTTCAATTTTGCATGTAGATTTTAGAATTGCATGTAGATATTTTGCCAACATGCAATTTTGCATGTAACCAAAAAAGGATTTCGAGCCCTGATATTTCAAGATTTGATAATACTGTGTTTGAGTGTAGAAATATCAACAGATATTTAAAAAATGGCCTCCTTCACTGATTGTACTTCCCCCTCCCCCCACTAGGTGGCGCCTTGGGTGTAGGGAAGGCCATGATGCAGGAGTTACTGACAGCCTTTCCGGGTGTGGACGAGGCCATGAGTTATGCAGAAGTCATGAGGTCAGAGGTCCTCAGCAGCACTACCTTAACGATCTGTGTCTTACATGTACCAACCTGATGAAACTTAACTCATGGAGTCAACAAAAACAGTGTAAATGAAAACATGACTCGCTCCAATTCACACGTTGTACATTTATTCATTTTCACATAAAGATACATAAATAACATCAAATGGCAAGTCACAGTTTCTGACAGTTCTATGCAAATAAATGGTTGTCTTCTAGATACTGAGTATTTGTTCTTTCAAAATTATCTTGATTGTGAACGATTGGTTGCGATGTTAACATACGTTAATAAGGTTATCAACTGTCCGACAGATTGGTGAAGGGGATGAATTTCTCGGCTGTCGTTTTTGACACGGCGCCGACCGGCCACACGTTACGCCTCTTGTCGTTTCCCGCGGTCGTTGAGAAGGGTCTTGGCAAGCTGCTCAGGTTAAAGTCACAGATTACACCATTCATACATCAGGTGAGAAGACTTGTTTTGATCAGTCAAATTCTACAGTACCTGCCATTAAAGACAGTTTCAAGAGCAGAAGCGATTGTTCTGGTTCTGAAAATACTATTTTTCTGAATCAGCTGCACTGAAGATCTTCAGCCATTATCCCATTAAAACCCACATGGGTCTGCATGGAGGGGCACTACTCAGTTACTGGATTATAAATGATTCAATTCCTAGATGATCTGTAACTAGATTTTACAAATTTGGTTGATTTTGTATCAATAAAAATACAATTTCTTTTAGAAAATAATACTGGCCTCTGCTCTTGAGACTGGCTTTAAAATCATCAAGCTTCCTATAAATATATAATATAATGTTAGACAAGTCACAAGATATACTACGGTAAAGCAATGCGTGTTGTTTGCGACCAGATCGGTGGCTTGCTGGGATTGGGCGACATAAACGCAGACGAGATGTCATCACGGCTAGAGGACACACTGCCGATCATACGGCAGGTCAACGAACAGTTCAGGGATCCGGTAAGCCTCCGACAAACACATGCTAATGCACACACACACACTAACACCACAAACACACGCACCCACCCACACCAATGGTAACAACATCAAATTTGCAGTTTACCATAAGGCACCTCATTAAGGAGTAGAAATGTGAAATAGAGGACATTTAGATGCCTGTAACAACATTTAGATGCCCGTTACTCTGTTACAAGACTTAGATTTTGCTATTTGTCTTCAAAAGACTAGGGGAGTACCCTTTGTGTTGGCAAAAGGCGAACCTCCTGTGCTCCTCCTGCAAGCATGCCAGCGCTAGTTTGAGTTCCTTTATTTCCCGTGTGACATGCGCTACTTGCTCCATCAATCTGTCATGAGGGCTGTTCACCAGCGTCGACCTGTGTTGTGGAAGATGCCGGCCGCACTCACCGTCTTCAAGATCGCACTTGTCACGGTAACGTACCGAAGGACGTCTCTTTCATTTTGGGTGCAGACATCACTGGAGATTTTTTCCTGAGTTGCCTTGTTCACAAGGTAAGTGTCCGAGATCAGCCCTTACATGCAGAAGAAAACCAGAAAACGTCCTTGCCATGCAGAGACATGCTATGACCTCTCTTCTGTACATGTCGGGCAGAAGTCACGGTGGATTACTACATCAAAATTCTCTGTGATTAGGCCTGCAGCCCAATCACACCATAAGGAATCAGTTTTGTCACTACAAGATGGCCCTGGTGTGTCCTAGCAAAATCTATCAGTTTCATGTCTTGAAACCCCTCAGCATTGAGTGAGTTGAATGGTATGCTGTTTCATATTCAGACTGCATCCAATACACTGTATATGAGCTTCCCTAAATTTTTTAACCTGCTGTTACAAGCAGTGGAAGTTCTGACCTTAATGAGTCTGAGTAAACTTTGTAAATTTCAAGGTTAAATGAAGGTTATAACTTATGAAAAAGTTTTATAAAGTATAATCAATTACGTAAGGATTATGATTTGATCACATCTAAATGTTTTATGTCCATATAGTTTGTGAACTCCCAAAGTATTCCCTCTGTCTATATCACATTTCTCTCCCATATGATGGCTTAAAATTGATGTAAACTTTACATTTGATGTTGTTTCCAGGTGTTTCTGATATATTATGTGACATTATTGTCTCCTATGCACCAAAAGACTGATCTAATAATTTACATCAAAACATTACAATACAAATATTTGCTAGACATGCAGCCACTCTCTCATTGGTTGATTCACTAATTGCCATGCTATCATTGGCTGCACTGCTAATTATGTTAGACAGTCAGGATACATCTATCCATCTATTTTCAAAGGTCTAACAGTCACGCTTCATTGCTTCACTTCTTAGCAAAGATTGAAAGTTTTTGAAACTGTACAGCCCCCCCCCCCTCTAACATGGCCACCACATTTCATGATCCTACCTCAACAACTCATTATATCCAACATTAAACTCTGGCTATAACTGCTATGTATATATTGCTTCTAGTTATTTCTAAATCTTGCATGCTATATACACAATGGAATCAAATTTGGCTTGCTAAAGCCAACTGAAAAAAAGTATAAACAATCAACTTTAACACATTATACAGGAAAATACTATATTCTGCTGAATGCATCTGCCAACACATGTAACCATCACTGACCTGGTCACTCACCATATTAGATATAATTATAAAGTACTAATTCTATACTTATTTCCCAAAAGTATAAACTTCCAACTTTAACACATTACACAATAAAATAGACTCTATATTCTGCTGAATGCATCGGCTCTGCCAAATAAACACTCCTGTATTAGTTAGTTTAGTCCATAGTTAAGTTTGTAGATAAGTTTTGCCATACTTTGTACCATGTACAACTGTTGTGCAATAAAGTTATTATTATAACCATCACACACTCACTGACTCATTCACTGACTCATTGACTGACTGACTGACTGACTGACTGACTCACTCACTCACTCACTCACTCACTCACTCACTCACTCACCATATAAGATATAATTATAAAGTTCTCATTCTTGACTTCATTGATGGTCTGATACTAGCACATGAAAACACATGCACTGCTCACCATACATACACAAATGCATCAACACAAAGAACAAAATACAAACTGACAACAATGTTTACTGTCACACACACAGAAGTAATCACACAGGCCTACATACCATACAGTATTATACAATTTCTATTGGAAACTATTGGAATTTTTTTGTAAATTTTCATTGAGCCCTCATGAGAGTTAGATAGTCCTGTGTGGTTTCTACCCACAGCACATCTGACCCTGCATGTTGGTTTCAACTTTTTTTGTGCTACATCACGGTAAGTCTGAAACTCATAAACAGTTCAGATTAAAGCAGTTAGAAGAAGGCATAATCTGCCAAGGCTATCACACTAGACACGTCACTTCTACATCGATCTACAGAACTACAAATGTATTTTCACTGATACAACTACACTCGTGACTCTTACATGTACAAGTACAATGAAGACTACCACACAAAATAGTTTTGAATTCTTATTTTCAATATTTTTGTGACTTGCTGAAGAAAAACATTTCTTTTTTCATCATCAGTTAAAAATCAATGTGCATGTGGGTGTCATGAATAAAATTTACTTGCTGTGGCCTTCTTAAATTGTGGCTT